CTTGCATGGTTTCTGCTGAGAAATCAGAGCTTATTCTTGCTGGCTGTCCTTTGTAGGGTACCTTTTTGTTTTTCCCATGCTTCTTTCAGAATTCTTTGTCTTTGTTTTTGATGAGTTCTTTCATGATGTGTCTTGGTGATTTTCTTTTGGGCTCTATCCTGTTTGGGGTTCGTTGGACTTCCTGAATGGACATTCTCATCTTTCATTATATCAGGGAAGTTCTCCTCCAGCAAATCTTGGAAAATTTTCTCAGTGGTTTTACTTTTCTCTTCCTGTCCTGGAATTCCAATGACACTTAAGCTGTTCCTTTTGATGGTATCCCACATGAACCTTAGGGCTTTGTTCATTTTGTTTTCATTTTTTTCCTGATTGATCCCTTTCTAAAGAAGTATTCAGGTATTTGTTTTCAATCTCATTAATTCTGTCTTCCGTTGCATCAATTCTACTCCTTTGCCCTTCCAATGTGTTATCTATTTCTGACAATTTAGTATTGATATTCTGGATTTCTGACTGTAGATTTAGAATCATTTCTAATTTTTCATTTATTTTTTCATTTTGTTCTTGTATTTTCTTCCAAATTTCTTCTAAGTTTTTTTCTGTATTTTCTTTGGTCTGTCTCACAATCCTTCGAAGATACCTAAAGATAATTCTTTTGAATTCCTTATTAGCGAGTTCCAATGCTGCTTCTTCCTCAGGGATGTGTTCTGGGTCTCTATTCTGCTCTCTTGTTTCTACCACTTTATCCTGCTTCTTTGTGTGGACTGTGATGATCTGTTGTCTCTGAGCCATCGTGGCATTGTTGTATTTAGATCTCTGTTGACTCTTTTTGAAGAGCAGCCAAGGGTGATTCAGGTTCTTCTTTGTGGTTTCTTATCCTTGGCCCATTGGTGGAGAAGGAAGTAGTGCCTCTCGCTCAGTAAGTGAAGTTGCAGGAGATGTTGGTGTAGTTGTGTCTTATGGGGACTGTTCCTGTCTCTCAGTTAGACACAAATTACAATTGAATAACCTTCAAAAAACCAAAAGCACATGGACAAAAAACACACCATGTAATCACACAGGAAGAGTAACCAAAAAAAGAAAAAAGGGAAAAAGAAGAAGAAAAAACAAGAAAACCTGCAATATCTGGGGATGGGGCACTAAGAGAAAAAAAAGGAGAGAAGGAGAATAATGAGGGAAAAAAGGAAAACAAGGAACGGGGTTAAGAACGAGGAAAAAAGGGGGGAAAAGTTAATTTTTAAATAAATAAATAGAAATTTTCAACCAGGAACAGGCAAAAGAAAAAATGCTGAAAAGTAGGACCTGGGAGGGGAAGATTAAGAATAACAGTAAAAAGGACAAAAGTATTAATAATAATAGTTGTTATAAAACAGACAAATACAAGCAAACTAGTCACCAGGAAAAAAAAAAGCAAAAAATAAAAATAAAAAAAGAGAAAAAAAAAAAGCATAGAGGACAGGGCAGGGCACCCAGGCTCCGTCTGAGCACACAGACTGTGATGGAGTTCCTGTGGGCCCAGAAGGTGGGTGGGAGTGGGGGATGGCCGCACCTCCATTCACCGAGCAGGTGTGGGGTATAAGAACAACAAGAGGATGTCGCACTTTGTCAGTCTTGCAGGTCCGGAACGGCCTTGGGGTTGCTGGCAAGCAGAACGTATTTTTAAGCCCCAGAAATGTGAAAGAGCACTGTCTCTTTAAATATCCAAAGTAGTCAAGCTGCTTTTAAACATTCAAAATGGCGGTGCCCTCTGGACCGCCAAAAGTCCACAGCTCAGCCCGTGTTTCTCTTCACCTTCTCTGTTTATTCCCCAGCTACCATAGCAGTCCCCTGTGCAGTCCCTGTCTAGCAAGGCTGATTTTTAGGTTAATTCTTAGGTCCTACCACCACTCGCCACTCTCAAAGCTGTTTGTGCCATGCCGTCAGGATCGCTGCCAGACCACAGCTCCATCTGTCTCCTTTTTTTGGTATTTTTATGCAAATTCTTCTGCTAGTTGGGGTTTAGTCCACTCCTATATCCTTCCCTTCAAGGCTCAGGGGTCTAGGATTATCTTCTGTGTCTGTGTTAATTGGTTTCCCTTTTCTTTGTTGATGAGGGTCTGTGCAGTCTTTCTGCCTAGTCCGCCATGTTATCGGAACTCCTGGCCTAGACTCTAAATAAACTTTGTAGATAATAAGAAAAAAGAACCACTGTCCTCTTCTTGATGTACAAAGGTCACCCTGACACAAGAAGGGGTAAAGCAGTGAGTCTCTGAAATTCATTTTTGGGCATCTAGGACCTAGTGTGAATTCCCCTAAGAGAATGTACATGCCCTGTGTGACCATCTCACTGACTACAATAACTCCCTTCTGCCTGAGGAACGTGCATGGTCCTGGGTGCTAGAGGCCCCTCTAGCACCTATCAACACAGACTTATTCTTAGTTATTGTTTTCCTTTTTTCAGCTATAGAAACAAGTCTGCACAAAACTATCCACGTCATCCATTGAGACTGGCAGCATGTCTGGGATAAGACCTGGCAATGTTACTATTCTACATTGGGCTAGACTCATACTTGAGGTAGCCTCCTCAGCTTGGGGATTCCAACCATTGCTGTTAGTAGCTATAGATTTGAAAGTCTGGTAAATACCTACCCAGCCACAAGCACTTTATATATTTTGGATCAGTCTTATTCTGAATATTCTAAATTATTGGGCCATGGCTTCTAATTGGGAGCTCTGGTGGCGTCTGACTATTAACCAGAAGACTGGTAGTTCAAACTCACCAGCCACTCCTTGGAAGGAAGGTTGGGCCATCTACTTCTGTAGTGATAGCGCCTCGGAAACCCAAGGAGGGGTTGTTATGAATCAGATCCTACTTGATGGCAGTGAGGTTAGTTTTAGGCTTGTAATTACAAATTAAATCCACCATGAGGCTGCGTATGCATGACTCAGAGCTGTGTTTACACTTTCCATTCACCATCAAGGCCCACTAGGTGGCAGTACAAAGGATGTCCACAACACACAACATTCCCGACTCTAGAAAGACACTGAGTAAAAAGGCTGCTTTTGCTGGTGCAGGAAATGAACAATTTTTTTCCCTCTTATAAAGGAAATACAATTCAAAATTCCTGTATACCAAAAAGAGGTAGTGAAAATCTTGATCAAGGAAAGAAATGTTGCAGATTATCCACAATACATTCAAAATTTTAAATCATCTTTTCTCACAACCTAACAGGCAATACATATTCCTCTGTCACTTTCCCCCTAGACAATGGACATGTAGGAATGAAAATGTAAATGACTTTCATACACTAATACAAACTTAGTGTCTAAAAGCCATACAGTGTACCCCCAGGACAATGGAGTACTGACAGACACTTCTTCAAGGGCCCTCAACACAACCTAGTGTGCCACACAAACCTTGGATATGAAGATGGTGTTGATTTTGGGGTTATGCTTGAAATTCTGGAGAATCTGCATTCTTTCTCCCTGGGATGTAGGACCATAAATATAGGGTCTAGAGAAGAAAAAAGTTGCATTAGAATGACCATACAATCACTCCTCAATAATTCTTACATCATGTTGCTGGGGAAAACAAGGGTTCAAGATTTCTCTCCATTATGCAAGAACATCCAGAGAGCAATTAAAAGGACTGGCTACAGACACCACCCACCATCGTTTCTCTACCTCCCCATGCTCATCATCTGTCCCCATTAATTCTGGGTTCAGGTGGACCTCTACTGTGGGGATCTCCTACTTTACCTTTTGTATTCTGGACTGTGTGCTTTTTCCTGCTTCAACATCTCTAGCGCTAGGCTTAGAGTCTATACTGGGAGAATCATCTGGAATTTACAAAGTCCAATGGAACTGACAGAGAAAACATTTCCACTACAAAAGGTTGGAAGCAGCTTTCCTAATGATAGAAGCATCTTCCAGGAAAGAGCAGAAAGAACAACAGGGCCACTTTTAGTCTGTTTCTCTCTGGCCTCCTGTACCCACCAGAGTTCAAACAGCTCTCTTCCAAAGGGTACAACTCTGGTTGGCACCTGGGATCTCTACAACTCTGCCCTCTGTCTTGGAATGCGCGGACAACCGGTTTCAATAGCTTCCCAAGGACCGGTAACAATAGTGATAATAATGACAAGACAAAGGATGACAGCTACTGCGTAGGCAGTGCCTTCCAACAACAGGTACTGAGCTGGGCTCTACTTCAAAACAAAATAAAACAAAAAGTTGAGCCATCCTTGCATACGTGGTATGAATCCCACTTGGTCATGTTGTATTATTATTATTATTATTATTTGATATAGCATTGGATTCTAAGGGCTAGCATTTAGATGAATGTTTTTGTGAATATATTCATGAGAGATACTGGTTTATAGTTTTCCTTTCTAGTGGTGTCTTTACCTGGTTTTAGTATCAGGGTTATGCTTGTTTAATAAAATGAATTTGGGAGTATTCCATCCTTTTCTGTGTCTGGAATAGTCTGAATAGGATTGGTGTCAGCTGTTCTACGAATGTTTGGTAGAATTTTTCAGTGAAACTGTCTGGAGCAGGACTTTTTTGGGGAGGAGTTTGTTATGACCTGTTCAATTTCTTTTGTTATGGGTCTTTTCAAATTTTCTGCTTACCTGTGTTAGTTTAGGAAAGTAGTGTGCTTCTAGGAATCTGTCCATTTCTTCTATGTTTTCAAATTTGTTGGAGTACAGTTCTTTATAGTGTCCTGATACTATCTTTTTTATTTCGGTTGGTTCTGCTGTGATGTCACCCATTTCATTCCTTATTCATGTTATTTCTATCTTCTCCTTTCCCTTTGTTAAATTTGCCAGTAATTTGTCAATTTTATTAATCTTTACAAAGAATCAACTTCTAGTCTTATTGATTTTTTTTCTACTGTTTTTCTACTTTGTTTCCTTTATTTACTTGAATATTATTTCTTTCTTCTGGTGACTGTAGACTTTTTTTGGGGGGACACTCTTTCTAATTGTTAGAGATGCTGGATTAAGGTACTATATTTGGCTTGTCCTTCTTTTTTGATATGTGCATTTATTGCTATAGATTGCCCTCTGAGCACTACTTTTGCTGTGTCCCATAGATTTTGGCCAGAGAGACTAGGACAGAGTGAGGAGTCAGCCACAGGGATCCAGGTGAGGAGAGGGAACCCAGGCCACACCCAAAAGCAGCAAGGCGGGAAAGGGAGGACAGGACAGAAAAGGCCAGAGGGAACAGGACAAAGCAAGGAGTCAGCCACAGGGATCCAGGTGAGGAAAAGGAAGCCAGGCCACAACTCACAAGCAGCAAGGTAGGAAAGCAGGAGATAGGAGAGGAAAAGGCCGGGGGACTGGGACAGAGTGAGGAGTCAGCTGCAGGGATCTAGGTGAGGAGAGGGAACCCAGGCCATGCCCCAAAGCAGCAAGGTGGGAAAGTGGGAGAAAAGAAGAGTAAAAGGCCAGGGAGACTAGAACAGAGGGAGGAGTCAGGTGCAGGGATCCAGGTGAGGAGAGGGAACCCAGGCCACTCCGCAAAGGGGAAAGCAGGGAAAGGACAGAAAAGGCCAGAGGGACCAGAATTGGGTGAGGAGTCAGCTGCAGGGATCCAGGTGGGGACAGGGAACCCAGGCCATGCCCCACAAGCGGCCAGGTGGGAAAGTGGGAAAAGGACAGAAAATGCAAGGGGGACTAGGACAGTGAGGAGTCAGTCGCAGGGATCTAGGTGAGGAGAGGGATCCCAGGCTACACCCCACAAGCAGGTAGGTGGAAAAGCGGGAGAAAGGAGAGGAAAAGGCCGGGGAACTGGGACAGAGTGAGGAATCAGGTGCAGGGATCCAGGTGAGGAGAGGGATACCAGGCCACGCCACACAAACAGCAAGGTGGGAAAGCAGGAGAAAGGAGAGGAAAGGCCAGGGGGACTGGGACTGAGTGAGGAGTCAGCTGCAGGGATCCAGGTAAAGGTGGCCGCAGAGGTTTCCAAAGCTAAGGGAGACAAACTTGTCTGTCGGTTTGTCCTACTGTGGTGGCGTGTTGCTGTGAGTCTTGAGGCTGTGCCACTAGTGTTTCATACCCAGCTGGGTGCACATGGTGCACAGGTATCAGACTGAGAAAGACTAGGAAGAAGGAAGAGGTCATCCACTTCTCAAAGAACTGGCCAGGGAAAATCTTATGAATAGCAAAGAAACACCATCTGATACATTACTGTGCAACTTTATGAATAGTCCAGAAACATTGTCCAATACAAAGGAGGAGGATGAGTCACTTAGGTTAGAAGGCTCGCTAAATATGACTGGGAAAGAGCTGCATCATCTGAGTAAACTCAGCCTTACTCATACAGATAAGGTAAAGCTTTTGAAACCTCCATTTGCTGACGTGGCACCACTCAAATTGAGGAGAAACAGCTGCAAACATCCATTAATCATCAGAACATGGAACATACAAAGTATGAATCTAGGAAAACTGGAAGTTGTCAAAAATGAAATAGAACGCATAAAGATTGGTATCCTAGGCATTAGCGAGCTGATATGGACTGGTTTTGGCCATTTTGAATCAGACAACCATATGATCTACTATGCTGGAAATGACAGTTTGAAGAGGAATGGCATGGCATTCATCATCACAAAAGATGTTTCAAGATCTGTCCTGCAGTACAATGCTGTCAGATAGGATAATATCCATATGCCTACAAGGAAGACCCATTAATACGACTATCATTCAAATTTATGCCCCAACCACCAAAGCCAAACATGAGGAAATTGAAGAATTTTATCAACTTCTGCAGTCTGAAATTGACCAAACATGCAATCAGGATGTGTTAATTATCACTGGTGACTGGAATGCAAAAGTTGGAAACAAGGAAGAATCACTGGTAGTTGGAAAATTTGGCCTTGGTGACAGAAATAATGCTGGAACTCGTATGGTAGAATTTTGCAAGACCAACAACTTGTTCGTTGCAAACCCCTTTTTTCAACAACACAAACAGCAGCTGTACACATGGACTTCACCAGATGGAACACAGAGGAATCAGACTGACTACATCTGTGGCAAAAGGCAATGGAAAAAAAAAGCTCAATATATTCAGCCAAAACCAGACCAGGAACTGATTGTGGAATAGACCATCAAGTGCTCATATGCAAGTTCAACTTGAAGTTGAAGAAAATTAAAACAAGTCCACAAGAGCCGAAATATGATCTTGAATATGTTGTTGCTGTTGTTATGTGCCGTCGAGTCGGACCCGACTCATAGCGACACCTCCTTGGGTTTCAACCGCCCGCCTTCTGGTTAGCAGTCAAGTGCCTTAGGCACTATGCTACTAGAGCTCCCGATCTTGAATATATCCCTCCTGAATTTAGAGACCATTTAAAGAATAGATTTGATACATTGAACACCAATGACCAAAAACCAGAAGATGTGGGATGACATCAAGAATATCATCCATGAAGAAAGCAAGAGGTCACTAAAAAGATGAGAAAAGAAAAGAAGACCAAAACGGATGACAGGAGAGACTCTGAAACTTGCCCTTGAGTGAAGAGTAGCTAAAGCAACTGGAAGAAATGACAAGATCAAAGAGCTGAAAAGAAGATTTCAAAGAGCAGGTTGAGAAGACAAAGCCAATTACTATAATGAAATGTGCAAAGGCCTGGAATTAGAAAACCAAAAAGGAAGAACACGCTCAGCATTTCTCAAGCTGAAAGAATTGAGGAAAAAAATTAAGCCTCAAGTTGCAATATTGAAAGATTCTATGGGCAAAATATTAAATGATGCAGGAAGCATCAAAAGAAGATGGAAGGAATACACAGAGTAACTGTACCAAAAAGAACTGGTCGATCTTCATCCATTTCAGGAGGTGGCATATGATCTAGAACCAATGATATTGAAGGAGAAAGTTGAAGTTGCAAGGAAGGAACTGGCGAAGAATGAGGTTCCAGGAATTGAAGGAATACCCACTGAGATGTTTCAACAAACGGATGCCTCACTGGAGGCACTCACTCAGTTATGCCAACAGATTTGGAAGACAGCTACCTGGCCAGCTGACTGGAAGAGATCTATATTTGTACCCATCCCAAAGAAAGGTGATCCCACAGAATGCGGAAATTATTGGACAGTACTGTTAATATCGCACTCAAGTAAGATCTTACTGAAGATAATTCAAAAAGAGTTGCAGGAGTATACTGACAGAACTTCCAGGGGTGCAAGCTGGATTCAGAAGGGGATGTGGAACAAGGGATATCATAGCTGCTGTTGGATGGATCTTGGCTCAAGGCAAAGAATACCAGAAATATGTTTACTTGTGATCTATTGACTATGCAAAGGCATTTGATTGTGTGGATCATGACAAATTATGGATAACATTGAGAAGAATGGGAATTCCCAAACACTTGATTGTACTCATAAGGAACCTGAGACTGACCAGGAGACTGTCGTTCGAACGGAATAAGGGGACGCTACATGGTTTAAAATCAAGAAGGGAGTGTGTCAGGGTTGTATCCTTTCCTCATACTTATTTGATCTATATGCTGAGCAAATA